AAATTTTTTGGAACAGAATAGCCACGTCATCTTCTTGTTTTTATTAATAATAATTTTTTTTTAAAATAATTTGTAAATAAAGATGTAACTCAATAATATTATTCTATGTAAAGAAGTTTTTTCATGAGAAATTACAAATTTTAATAATTTTGTTTTCTTTCTTTCTTTTTATTTAATAGAAGTAGGAAAATAAAGTAATCACTTGAATATTTTCCCGAAAGTTTGGTTTTATTAAAGAAAAACCCTTAATGAAAATAGAAACAGGGTTTTAATAATTCAATTAGAATTCAATTTTTTTCATCAAAAATAGAACATTTCAACTAGAGATCAATTTTTTTTGAACTATATAAGTCAAATAAATATAACAAAGAAATTAATAATAAACCATTCATTGAGATTTAAATCATTAAGAATATTCCTTTTTACTTATAAAGGAAAAAGAACTGAAATGTGTCATTCAAGTATAATGTCTCTTATAGAAACTACACCTGTAAACCAAGAACAAGAATTAGAATGTACATGTTTATTATGTAAAATGAAACTTGTTATTTTACAAAATAGATATGTTCCATGGATTTCATTAGCTCGTATATTTTATCTTTCATTAATGACATTACATCCATCTAAAATTTATTTTTCAGTTAAAACTGATGTTCCTGATTTTATTCAAAGCCATTGGTCTATATTATCTCAATTATCTCAATTTGGTACAGGGAGTAGATGGAGAAAAAGTATGTTAGATGCTATTAATCATTCACGATTTTTCCAATCAGGAAAATGTGAATATCATGTCTCTGGTTATTGGAGACTTAAAGACACATCAATGCCTTTTATTGAAAATTGGGTCGGAGATGAAACAATAATTACAGATTCATCCAAGTCAGAAGTTACTAATACTAATTCTGGTGAAAGTATTGTTATGTCTAATGAAAATGTTATTACTCAACCTATTCAATCAAATTCTTTTATTCAAAACAATGAAATAATAAGAAATTATTATCTTCAAAATATTGAACATGCTCAATATAATATTCAATGTTTATTATTAACTTATAATCAAGTTGATATTACCTTTCAACAACAAATCCAAACTGAAATCCAAATGAATGAAAAGATTATTGAGTACTATACCCAAGGAATTTATAGAATAACTGATGTTGATGAACAAAATTATTCTTCTGCTTGTTTTATGACTAAAACTGTATTTTGAATTTATTGTAATTATAATTTCTTCTTATTTTATTTTTATTTGTTTTAATAAATATTTTAAAAATTCTTTTAAACTATTAAAAATTATTTTAATATAATTTAATAAATTATAATTAAAAACTATTAAAAGAACTATAAATTAGTTTTTTTAGTATTTATAATGGGAAGAGTAGAAGATATTTTACAAGTTATTAAAGATGATGAAAAAATCGATGGTAAAACATTAAAAGTAGTAGTGATGACATTGTATAAAGTCTTTTTATTAGAAAATTCAAATATACAAGAAGAAATAAAAACTATAAAAGAGATATTAAAAAGACATAATGAAGAAATTATATCTCTTAAAAACACAGCCAAAAACAACCAAGAAGAATTTACTAAAACTAATGAGGGTATTAAAAAATTAATAAATTATATTAAAAATACACCAATTTCAAAACAAGATTATATTTCTTCTGAAAAAGAAAATAAATGTCAGCCAATAAAAGAAATAATTAGTACATCTTCTTTTCCTATAACTCCTCGTTCACAAAATAAACAATCAGAATTTAAACCTCTTCAAACAACTAAAATTGATGAACAAAATAAAGTAATTATTTCACAAATTCTTAAAGAAAAAAGAAATGATGTCGAACCATTTATTGGAACTAAAGAACAATATAATATTATTGGTAAATTTACTCAAACTATTACTGAGTGGGTTGGATTATCAAAATGCAAAGTTGTTTATGACTCTCTTTCTGAAAGAAGTATTAACAAAGAAGAAACAAATAAGTCATTTGGAGAACATGTTATGAATAAACCAAATATCTGTTTTTTTAATTTTGATGAAAACGAAAATATATTTGGTGTTTTTACTTCAAAAGGAATCACTGAATTTGATTCAGAAGAACATGATGATTCTATTTTTTGTTTTTTAGTTAAAACAAAAAGAATTGTTAGTGTTCCAAAAAAATGGAGTATTAAAAAGTCAATCAATTGTGCTATTTCTATAAAACGAGATAGTTCTGTTTTATATTCATTTGGTCAAACTACTGGAAATGGGTTTGTTGAAATTGCTAAAACATGGTTAAAACAAAGTTGGTCACATAATATTTCTTCTTCTTTTCTTGCAATGAATGAAAATGCTTTAGTGGGTTCTAATGATTCAACATTTACAGTACAAAGAATACTTGTTTTAGAATTTTATTAATTAAGTCATTTTTATATTATATGAAACTTTTAAAATATAAAAAATAATACAAAAATATAATACAAATTGTAATAGTAAATAACATGAACTTATTTTTGATGTTTCATTGTAAAAAATTTTTTTACTACAAGAAATGAAAATAATATAAAAGAACAAACAACCATTCCAGCAGAAATAATAAAAGTGTAATGGAAACATATCTCTCCAGTGCAAATAGAGTCTCCAGATTTGATATAATTATCATAAAGAACTCCTGAAATAATTGAAATAAAAATATTACTAATAGCAACACCTGTTAGTGTTACTCCTAAATTGAACCCAAAGTTATTTATTCCAAATCGTTCAGAAATTAAAGAAAGACTTACCCCAAGAACACCTCCAACAAACCATGGTTCAATCCATACAATCACTTCAATAACAAAACTTTGTAAAAGAACTGCTAATGATAAAAGGATTAACAACATAAATGATAGAAAACTCAAAACCATCAACTTGTTAATATGAATCTTTGCTAATAAATCACTTCCACAACTAAATAAAAAGATTCCTATGGCATGAAAAAGTGATGTTATACTAGTAAGTAATTCAATTCTTGGTTCATTTATTCCATTTGCTTGAAGAATTAATGATATATTTGAAATAAATGATAAAGAAGGACCAGAAACTAATGCAATAGCAATTATATATATATAAAAGTCTAATTGAAGAAAAACTTTTAAAGCAATGCATTTCTTTCCTTGTTTTTGTGGAAATTCCTGAACAGAATTGTTTAGTTCTGAACCTTGTGTTGATATTTCTTGTATATTTTGAGATTCATTTGCAGTTAGTCCAGTTTTTAGTGAATTAATTGATGTTTGTTGATATTCTGTTTCGTTAAATGGTATATTTATGTTTTGAGAATCTTTTAAAGAATTATTTGATACTTCTGTTGAAAGACTTAATGATTCATTATTATTATGAATATTATTTGGATAGCTAGAAGATATAAGTGAATAAGAAGTATTATTTGGATCATCTGTTGGAATAATAAACATTATAACCATTCCAATAAAACTTGCAATGCATATGGTTAAACAAAGGAAGAAAAGATAATTACGTACGCCA